TTGATGGGCCTTCCAAAATAACCAACACTGAGAGATAACTTACCACTAAATACCTAACTGGGCTCCATTTTATTGCAGTCATTGAAATGGTCAAATTTGAAGAGGTCCGAACTTTGTATTATCTAACCATGTTCTAGACCAACCGCGATGCTGAAACTTGGTATGGTTGATCATGACAAGGCTGTTAAGTTAGCATATCCAACAAAAATGGCATTTGTCACTTCATTTAGCTAAAATTTTTGGTGGCAATTCTTCCAAGTGAATTGCAGGCCACATGGGGTGACTTTGCCACCATGTTATCAATGCAAAAATGAAATACTTATCCGATGCAATTCAAAATAAGTTTTTAATATAGCATCATTTTGATCTCCAAACTGGTTTTTAGAAAGTACAAGTTTATATGTTGAAAGCTAGCACAGGAATGCACAGTGGGAGTATAGAAAGGCAAAAATTACCAAAATAAAAAAATGGACGAAGCTGGACCCAACTTTTCAGCAAAGCCATGATCATCTACAACTCCTGAGTTTGCCAGTAAGACTGGCTGAAGAAATCTGTATCATTTTATAGATCAAAACGCTGATAACAATTGTGTCGGTCAGTTCCTGCAAGAACGTCCTCTTTCTGTTCCTCTTAATGCCGCTGGAAAAAAAAGCGGCAAGGTCCTAGTGTACCGATACAATAGTATAGGTATTTGCTTATTTATCGATGCTGAACCATTTCAAGTATCTATTTACTATCAAATATCAATTATTCTCAACAAATATAATCTATTATAAAAAGTAAGGTATCTCTCCTTTTTTGTACATCGTTTAAGAGCAAAAAACCTCGAATTGATTTATTTTTTCCTATAAAACAATAAAGGATGGTTGCCCTTCCCCATACAATGGAACAAAAATGCTTGAAAAGTATTTGTTAGCGTTAAAAAACCATTATTTGGCATAGTGGCAAAGTCACCCCTTTTTCAGTTTAACTTTGCCACGACTCATTTTCCTTAGAAATTTATATTTTTAGGCAAGATATAAATACGATAATAACAAAACCCAAAGAGCTAATCGTCATCCGTGTTTTAAACATAGAGTCATCCCAATAAGTTAACAAGTTTAAAAAATACAAGCGTCTAAAGTTGAAAACATGGCAAAGTCACCCCCGTTTACGGTACCTTACTGGGCATCAATTTGACACCTCCACACAAAATCTCAAGTCTTAGGTCAACTTAGGTCAGGAGGTATTGAGGTCAAACTGAGGTTATGTTCGATCAAAAATGAGCAAAAAAAAAACATGAAATATTGAAGCGCTCACAAAAGCTACAGTTACTAAGCAATTTCAAAGTTCTTTATATCGTCATGTAGAGAAGAGACGGTACTACAAAAATCCTATCTTGGATTTTCACAACTTTGGGTTTTTGACTCCCAAAAATTAAAAAGTTGATTTTTTAGAAAAAACAAAAATTCCGAAACGTTTTTTTCTAACTTCGGAAAAATCGGAATAAATGTGATAGTTTCTGCGCTCTTCTATCTACATAGGTACCAATTTTTAGATCGATACCTCTTTTTGGCCAAGTTGCAGCAAAAAAAAAAACTGTTACCTACTGTAAAAACCAGACATGAGCATGGATCCGAGAGCTGGATCTATGATCTCAGTGGATCTCTCGACAAAATAGAGGGATTGGATCTATGATCCGAGTGGATCTCTCGACAAAATTCAGGGGTTGGATCTATGATCCGAATGGATCTCTCGACAAAATTTAGGGGTCGGATCTATGATCTCTGTGGATCCAGCGGGCAAAAATTTGTGGAGAACCTATGATCTGTATGGATCTCACGACAACATGTAGCCAATGAAACCCTTATCCTACATAATTGTACACCTTACAGTGCAATACAATTGAGAATTGTCACTTGTGGACATGGTTAAGACCAGTTGTAATCATTAGGTATCATCATTAAATTGAATTTAAATAAACAACATTTGTACTACATTTAAAATAAATCAAGGACATGCACATTGCTACTTTTTGTGACCAATTGTAACTTTTTTCATGACAGCACTGATGACAATCTTATCAACAAGCTACAGCCACTTAAATTCAATGAACAAACAGTACAGACAGATGCAGTGGCAGCGGGGCACTGCAGATTTTCATTTTGGTCCCATTCTTTCCATGCAACGCCAGTAGGGCTAATGTTAAAATGCCAAAATCTATGGGGGGCACTGTACCCTGGTGCCACCCCCCCCCCCCTGTTCCGCCGCCTATGGACAGATGCTAGGAAATCAAACCTGGAAGCCAAATAGGTCAGTTTTGCTAAAAATAATCCAGCAATCCACTTCTAACAGGTATGAAAACCCAATCCAGAATGTTCGTATGAGCTATTAGTATGTGCAACACAATTTCACTTTAGTAAGAATAGCCACCAACCTGTAATACTTCCCTAATAAAATTACAAGTTCAAAAATGGCATCAACTTCTTCAGATTACCTACTTTTGGCATCGTGCCACGTGTGGTGCCATGCTGTGCTGTCTTTATGAGAGAGCCTCCCAAAAAAGACAAACGAAATTCACAGCTCACGTTTTGGTAATATTGTTTTATTACGTCATTATCGTTTGACCAATGAAAAATCTTAATTTGACTAAAACCGTAATGATTCCAAAAGATTCCCCGTAATAGGCCCTTTAAACTAATGACGTAAGATATTGTGATTCTTTTGAAAAGTGAATAGAATAAAGATGCAAGGCGCACACTCGCGTATAGCACTAATGGCCATGTAATACCGTTTCAGCTTACGTTTACGTCATTAAATTCAACGCTACAAAGATGATATTCACAAACAATCGTATCGTAAAATTATGTGAGGAGAAAAAATGAACATTTTTTTGAAAAAAAAAATACTCCAGACTTTTGAATTTCCAGTTTGATTTTTTTTTCATTATGCTCGAAGGTAGAACGCTTAGCTCATTTGTTATTTGAAATGACGTCACGAGTTCTATTAAGATACTGAATAATCATTTTACGGTAAATATCCAAGGCCATTACAATTGATATTTCGCTTCCCATCGCTTCCGCAGGCTGTTGAATATTTTTATACTTTTGTTTATATCTCAGTTTATTTTATAAAATATTTCTTTCAATAGATTGAAATATCTTTACCTAACCAAGCCACATGTGTCAGTATCATCTTTTATTGTTTATGAATCAATTCATAGCTGGAGTGGAAACTGGAAAGCCTCATGGTTGTCTAATGCAAGATTGTCTTATCATTATGTAGATTCTAACATGAATTGTGATGTGGTAGGTAGTCAACTAGGTACATACCTAGTAATGTATTGTTCATTAGTCATTACTTTGACTTACCTCTGTGTTAATTGTTACTGCAAACTTTTCTGTTGGTATGTGAACAATCTTCATATCACTCAATTCTCTCAAGTTGTGACCGTCATGAGCCTCCTCTATTTTGTATTCTGTATTATGTAACTGGATGCCTTTACTAATATGGCCTTTGTATAAGATTGTTTGTTCCTAACCATACTTTGGTATTCATAACTTCTTATGAAAGAAAGTTGTTAACATTTTGAGCCCCTATGAGCTATGATCCCATTGGATCCCACGACAACATTGGGGAGCCAGATCTATGATCCGAGTGGATCTAGCGACAAAATTGAAGGGTCAGATCTATGATCCCAGTAGATCTCTCGACAAAATTGAGGGGTTGGATCTATGATCTGAATGGATCTCGGATCGGGATCCATGGGATCGGATCTCAGATCCATTTTTCCGGATCCAAGCACATGTCTGGTAAAAACTGTTGCAAAATTAATAACGTCAAATTTTTTAACTCAATTTTTGGCAATTCTAGAGCACGTAGCGCAAACAAAGACCACCATTGAACTCCATGACATGATATTTTCATATTGTGACCCTCAGTGACCTGACCTCTGTGACCTGACCTGGTATCAGTGACTTCAAATAGCAAAATATATGTTTGACGAGCAATACCCCATCGATGATTTTCAATGCAATGCATTTTACTCGATTTTACAGCGCATTTCTTGAACTGCCTGTAAACGGTGAAAATTCGACATTTGACCTGACCTGTGACGTCATCGGTTTGACCTAGGTCAATGAAATTGGGTCACAAGGTAGTTCCTTGTTGGGGCTATCAAACACCGTTTGCTGGTTGTCGCTATGTTGCGCCCCCCCCCCCCCCCCAGGGCGCGTTGCTCGGCAGACCCCAACTGGTTAAATTGAGTTTGAAAAGAGACCTAATATGACAAAGTATGTAGGCATACCCAGAAATGATTTTTCCTCTTTTAGCTTGGTGAAGTTCCATTGTACCTATGTCAAAATAACCAGCATCACCAAGCGCGTAGAAAGTTATAAGCTTCAAGTGAAATGGTTGCCATTAATCACTAATATGACAATGCTGTTTCCAAGATAAAAATTATGCCTGCCTTACAGTATCTGTTATCGTGAGAATATAAACGGATTGCTAACAAAGCCATCACTAGGTCAAACCGTATTCTGCTTGCCACCGCAGAGAATCAAGTAATAAAGTGCTTGCGTTATAAAAGGCTTGCATTAAAGTCAAATAAATTGTGACGAATGAAGTATCTTCCAATAAAAGCACACAGCTGCTCTTCACCAGCTCTTTGTGTTTCAACAGTGGGAAGCTTCATTCAGTACCTACATAAAACGTGTGTGCCCTGGGATAAACGCATGCAACAACCATTGACCATTGCATGCCGTGCCAGACCAGATAGTCACAGGGGTTCCGTTAGAGACAGCAATCCTCCTGTTTTAAAAGTGTTTCAGTCCACTATAGGATAAATATATTTGCGAACCACTTTCCAACTCCCTCTGGACAAAATGCTAGCCCACGTGCATATCTGTAAATTTTAGTCTACCTCTAGCTAAACCCCGTCGACAGGTATGCTGAAGTCCATCAGCTCATTGTCTACCGTTTGTTAGCCCGGTTATATGGTGCACCCTGACTCGACTACTAACTTTTGGCCATAAGTGTTTGTCCGGGTCCAGCGACGGACCGCTGAGAATCCATCCACTCTAGCACCATTTCCCAGTATTCCTTTACGTCCAGCTCCACTTCTAGCGGCAGTTGAATACCTGAACCCGACGGAGACGTCCGTACAGAAATTTCATCAAAATAAATCAGGTAATGGGCTTTCAAATGCCAGGCAGTTGATGTATGCAGATATAGAAGCATACACGAGGCCTCCTTCTATCAAACACTGCTTGATGATACATTTGGAAGGGTTTTCTCAGGTATATAAATTAAATATCCCCATATGTCATCCCTTTGCACTCAAGCAATGCAGGAGGATACTCCGTCAAAGTTCGACCTTTTGTGAAAGTTTATAAATCGATTCAGGTCCAATGCTTATACGGATGGGAGTATGACCGGAGACGGAGTCTGTGCTAAACAATATTCAGAGCTTGGTTTGACGGTCAAACCAAGCTCTGCATATTGTTTAGCACAGACTCCGTCTTCGGTCATACTTCCATCCGTATAAGCATTGGAACTGAATCGATTTAAAAAACAAACTCCCCCTCAGTTGTTGCTATTTATTTTTTAAAGTAAGATAAGAAATGATAACACGGCTTTGAGTCTCATGATTAAATAAATATCGAAGATAAAAATCCTAGCCTAATGCTAACTATTTATTGTATTGTTAAGAAGCCTAACAGGAGACGTCCGTCTTTTCATCAATACATTAAATACGTAGCATGAGGCCAATGTTTTTATGGTCTATATTCATGTAAAATAGAATTGAAATATTACTTTATTCATTTATATAAAATGCGTACCAGAGAGCTCATTCAGATAACGTCTGATAGGAGTCGTTCGCGGCGACAGAAACTGGAGCCGTCAAATCCACTCTGACTCTCTCGTGACTCTTATACCGGATTGACATGGCGCCGAAATCGGTCCGCGATTGGCTGTTTTTGCCGACCGTGCCGTGCCGGCTGAAATGAGCGCGCTCGCCGCCCGCCCCGTGCGTCCCTCGCCTCACGGCCGGCTTCATCGGGCCATCGCGTCGACGCACGGCGCCGCTAATCCCGATAAGAGGGTGCCGAGCCGAGCTAAGCCGGCCAACTGAGCACCATTAGTCACATGTGCGCCGGTGTTGTAGCGGCCAGAGCGGTGCCGATTTGACACGGATTAGAGCCCGCAGAGGCTGTGCGTGAGACCCGACCGGCACGCAATACACTGTAAAAGATTGCAGCGTGCTTACCGAGTAAAGGTGACGAATAAAGCGACTGGCGTCACAGATCAACGCTAATGCTAAAAGCGTACTTTTGTAGATTGAATTGAAGGCAGGGATCAAAAGGCTTTGATCGCGGGAATGGAAAGGAAATGATAGGTGTGGCAACGATCACTACCCGCGACTTCGGTTGTTGGAAAATCGTACTGGGATAACCGCCAAATAATGTGTGGATTGTGAATGCCTGCTGTATTCAGATGTTTAATGCAACACACAAATATTTTTTTGCGGAGAAAATGATTAGGTGCATTCGAGTTGATCAAAAATATAATACACATGTAGACTGTAGTCATTAATTTCTGGCATAAATCAATCATTAGTTGGTTGTATGTGCAAACACAGTAGCATGTCATTACGTCGCAATGTTAATTAAATATTGCATAATTATGTTTCCTCTTGAGACATCCCCCAAACTACTACACATAGCATAAATTACAAGCATAACTAAACTAATTTCAGCTAACTACATATATGTGAAGCGTTATTAGGTACAAGCGTTATTAGGTATGACATGGACCTGGGAAAGAAAAAGATAAAATTGAAGAGGTGCTTACCTAGTGCATAAGCAATTAACCCATATGAAAGCAGACGATGATAAAATATTTTTCATTCGTGTTTCGAGTCATTGGTATGGTATGTTGACTGTTTTAATGTCTTATTCCGGCTTCTAGCTCATTTTCCTGTGAGGACATAGCTCTCTGATCATTTACCACCCATGCAGCGGTTTTCGGAACTCACCGGCCGCCGATCCGAGCAGCACCGCCAGAAGGACGAGAGCCCTCATGGTGTCGGTGCTCCGCTCCCTGACCTCCGACCGACGCTGACCGACCGCTGACCGCTGGCCGACGACTGACCGCTGACCGGTCGGACACTGCGCTCCGGACCGTGCGCGCGCCTCCGCTACCTCCTGCGATGTGAGGCGGACGCCGGCGAGACGGACCTCCTGGTAATGAGGGCCGCCACACAGGCATCAGTCGATCACATAAACAGAACGACAGGCTGTGTCTCTGGTGCCCCTCCTCCGCCTCATCCCCTCCCCTCCCCTCTCTTCCACCCCCTCTTCTCCGGTGACCGGCGCGCGCGCTCCGGAGCGGGCGCTTTGTAACGCGAGAGCCGCCGGGGGCCCGTCAGCAGAGCCGCGACTGTGGGGAGGAGCGGCGGCCTCCAGAGCAGGCGCGAGATGACGGGAAGGGCACAGGGTGACTGTCCATCCGGAGCTGACCGGATAAGGGTCACCGAGCATGCCAGCACGCCAGCGCCCCCAGCAGGCAGTGCTGTGTGGCTGCGTCTTCTGTTGAAATGTGTGACGGAACTTCGCGACGGCATATTAGGTCAGAGTTAGGTAATAGAAAGGTTTTGACAAGTCTGTATTGATTACGGAGCGAGCGAAGCGAGCGTAGTCTTTCCTTAGATTAACGGAAATTTCTGAGTATGAGCGGCCGGCCGGCCGGCCGTGCGGACGCTTTTGCGAGGCTTATATCTCAGCAACCACTTGACCGATTTACATGCGGTAAATTTTGTAGGGTAGCTTCATTCCTTCTACCAAGTATTGGACTATTCCCCATGTATGTGGGTGACCCCTTATGCACGTGCCACGTGCAAAACGAAGAGGTGTCAGTTTTGTAATTGTTGCAATATCTCGGTAACTACTTGGCCGATTGCGCTGAAAGTTGGCATGTAGATAGGCACCCACCAGGCACTGCATATCCATGTGCCAGAGTTGGGGTGCTGCTGCACGTGCGCACGTGCAGGGGTCGTTTCCAGATCTCGAGAACGGCTGGACCGATGGCGCTCAAATTTGGTACACGATTAGGGACCAGTTAGTAGGGTGCCGTGCACAAGTCAGTTGGGACCCATTTTGCACGTGCGCACGTGCAGGGTGCCGCTTCCAGATCTCGAGAACGGCTGGGCCGATTGTGCTCAAATTTGGCACATCGCTAGAAACCGGTCAGAAGGGTGCCGTGCACAAGTTTGCTGGAGGTACCCCTCGAAATTTCGCACGTGCAAGACTCACCCCCTCGCTCGCTCCGTTAGTCGCCCCAAAAGGCGCTATACTGGTTTTGCATCCTAGGCTTATCACGCTAAAAGGGATTTTGGACACATCCAATGTATTGTTTGTGCATACAAAGCTTATATGCGTTGGAAGTAAGGTTTCCCCACGTGTATACCTAAGGCATACGAGGGAAACAGTTCAAACTTCTTTCGATTTATTGTTAATCTTAAGAATTCTCATTTTTGCATGTCTTTCTCATCGAAGGTTTGCTAGTGCTACCTACTCGCTCTTAATGTGACAAAGCTGTTGGTTAAGCCCGTATGTGATGAACATCAACCCCGGAACGAGCTAAATTATTGGGTAGCCTCACCAGGCTTTTCACCATCTCATTTTTGTACCGAATTGACCAATGACCATGACTCTCCCCATGAAGACGCTGAGGGCTGGATGACGGTAAAGAGAGGCCTTCAATCGGCCGTGTCATGATGTGTCGCGCATTGTCACACCGTGTCACGAGGTGCACCGTGACGCTCTGACGAGCGCCGACACGTCAATGTCGTCCGACCGAGGGACATGTTTGGGCTTCTGGCTGTGTCCGCTGTCATGTCGGACACTCGGCTCGCCCTGCGCGCCGGACCTCCGCGCCGGACCTCCACCGCGGCCCCCCGTGTTGGCCGTCAACGCCTGCGCCCTCCGTCCGAGTCTGTATACACAATGGCTAAATACAGTGGCCGCTGGACATCAAGCTGGTGTACCAAAGCAGAAGTCTGGTAATTACGAGCGAGCGAGCGCAGCGAGCGAAGCGAGTCTTTTCAATATAAGGGGAAAATCTCAGTATGAGCGGCCCGGCCCGGCCCGGCCCGGCCTGTAACGCTTTTGAGAGGCTTATATCTCAGCAACCGCTGGACCGATTGGCATGCGGTCTTTTTTGCTGGGTAGCCCCATCCCTTCTACCCCGTAATTGACTACTTTTAATACACCTCAGTGACCGTCGTGGCACGTGCCACGTGAAAAGTCAAGGGTGTTCAAGCTGTCCTGCAAAAGTAGTGATTTTGAGAGGCTCATATCTCAGCAGCCGCTTGGGCGATTGACTTGCGGTGATTTTTGGTGGGTAGCAGCATCCCTTCTACCAAAAATAGGATACTCTCGATGCATGTGAGTCACCCCCAGCGCACGTGCAAAATACAACAATAAGAGGTGTCAAATTTGTTCCCATTTTAATAACTCGGTAATTACTGGGGCGATTTCGCTGAAACTTGGCATACAGGTAGGCACCCACCAAAAATGCATTCCCATGTGTTGCGGTTAGGGTGCTACTGCACGTGCGCACGTGCAGGGGGCGCTTCCAGATCTCGAGAACGGCTGGGCCGATTGCGCTCAAATTTGGTACACGGTTGGGGACCAGTTAGTAGGGTGCCGTGCAAAAGTCAGTTTGGACCCCGTTTGCACGTGCGCACGTGCAGAATGCCGCTTCCAGATCTCAGGAACGGCTGGGCCGATTGCGTTCAATTTTGGTACACCGCTAGCGACCGGTTAGAAGGGTGCTTTGCGCAAGCCCGCTGGATGTACCCTCTCGCCCTTCCGCACGTGCAGGGCTCACTATCTCGCTCGCTCGTTTTTCGCCCAAAAGGCGTTTTACTGGTTAGTTAAAAGTCCGGTAAAAGAGTCAGCTGCTTGAGAGTGTGCGATGGTCTTCTATGGACTTCTTGTGATTGACAAAAATTCGCGGTTGAACTGTTATACATATAATTCCGTTCATTTCTATACCCGAAATATTTCAGTCACATGCTTTTTTAGAGGACGACAAGGAAAAACAAGGATAATTTTGCCCCTCTAATGTGCTTTAAAGTGTAGCTAACTTTGAACAATTTCAAAAGCCCGTTCTTCTGAGTGATAGAAAATCTCCGATCACCCTGGAATGGACGGACAGACCAACTACCTCATGCCTGCAGTTGTTCACCCATGGGGACTGTGTATAGGCATTTCACTGCCCCGCTGCTGGTACGCTGTAGCCTCAATATGTCCTGCTGAACAAGAAATGCACAACATCGGAAACTAACAAACCTTATCGGAGTATGACAGTGCGATGGTTGCCAGACCAGGGTGCCGTCATAAAGCGCATCGAGTATCTGCATTTCGGGACAGAGACCAGCCGCGTGTATAAACACTGTGCGTTACTCGATACATTGAAGGCTGTACACTGTACAGCGAGCCTGGTGATTAAGTTTTGTTAGCATAATGCGATACATCAGCGGATGTAAAAAGCATGGTTGTGGAAGTCTGAACATGAACCTTTGTCGCATCCTTGTCATGAGCGGCGAACCTGTATTGTCAGTTTCTCAATGAGTTAGGTGCAAATACTTCTCGATCTATAGTTCGTTTCTGTGAGGGAAGCATCACAAGTTTTAGACGATGATTTGTAAAGTTGTTTCAGTTATTTGCGATTTTCCCCCTCAGCTCGCACGGCGCCGTGCTGTCTGGAGGTGATATCCGCCCTCTTCGCACGTGGCTCTGCCGGCCCCGGTCCGGCATTCGTCCATCCCTCCCGTGCAGACCCGACCCGCCCCACCCCACCCCGGCGGCGGCGGGGCGAGGGTGGGGGCGGGATGACGTTGTCAGAGGACCATTCCGAGCGGAGAGAGGCCCCCAGGGGCCCCATCCCTCCTCCCTCAGTCTCCTCCCCACCCCCAGCGTCGACTGTTTGCCCATTCTCCGGCCAGTACTCCATGTTTATATTTCCATATTTTCCCACCTCGGCCGACATCTACTGGCTTCATTTATCTTTGTGCCCATCTGAATTACAGATGGGCCGCTCTGCCCAAAAGGCGCGCGGCCGAATTTTCAATCAGGCGGCCGCTTCACACCTCCAAGTGTTGGTATTGTGGCCCCCTATGTTTACTTATAAATGAGAGAATTATACCGCAACGGCGGGGATTCAATTTAAAAGCCATGACTAAAACATAAGTAACACCTCGCCGGCTGGCGGGGACGAACGAGCCGCGGGAGCTCATCAGTGGGTGGCTCCACCGAGAATCCCGGACCGACGAGCGGCCCGCGGCCCGCGCCCGGCCCGTTCGCTCGGGCGCCACTCGCCGCGGGCGGTAAATCATCGGCCGAGGGCGGAGTAACGGCGTCAGAACGCATGTACGCCCCAGAAAGGTGTTAATTTATGCCGCGGGGCCCATCACGGATGCAGCACGCGGCCGGCTAACGAAACACCGAATCGCCGCCGCGTCGCTGGTTATTAGGTGCGGGGGTCATGAAATGCGGGCCACTCGGGTCGAGAGGGCCGCCTGATCGGGTCGGTGCCAAACAAGATGCAGCGGGTGATAGGAGCGGCCGCCGGCTCACCAGCCGCGAGCCACGGCCACGGGAGCGCCACATGGCTCCTGATGGGCTGCAGGACACTGGAATGAGCGGCGGTCTGTTGTCGCCTACCGGTTAGTGGTGTCGAAATGCAGAGTTATACAACTCCACGAATATTTGCACCATGGACATGCTATTTTATATAATGGTATGTAAAATGCATCTGATTGTATAGTTGTCTCTGCGCAAGTGATTATTTGTTGCATGCAAATGTATCCGGCTGAATGCTGCCTTTACAAAATCATGAAAAGGAATATCGTGCGAGTGTTTCACGTCTCGTACCTAATGAGCATACATTCCTATTTCCACTATGAGCAACTAGACTATATAACACAGAAACAGAAATTCATAATATAACACAGAAATTCATTGCCCGTTGTCGCTGCATAGATAGACCATTCGATGTTTTGTCATGCTTCTAGGTGGCCCGGGGAGAAGACACCTACCTTCCGCCGTTTTTAGTGTTTATCTGAGGGTAATCGCAGTGCAGTCGGCAGATAAGGGTCCAAAAGGACAGGAAATGGTAGAAAACAGAAGCCAGTGACAGTGCCCAGAATAGACGCAGCTATCGGACGTCCACTGGTAT